GACCAGGGTTGAGGCGCACATCGCTTACATTGTTGCTCAAATCGGATATGCCTTTCTTCTGTCAGCCATGATTTCAAGGTCCGATGCCAGTTTGCCGGAGGAGGCTTCTGAGCACGCGTCTGTGTTTGGGGTGATACAGTGCAGTTTCCGCTTCTTGGGTGTAAATGATTCGATTGTACTTCTGTGGCAAATCACTTCAATGTTCTAATGGCTTTAGATTTGGAATTTTTATATTGCTACAGTTCATTTGGGGGAAAAAGGGGACAGCTCTCAGGAATTTTCTGGAAGGCTGTCCCTCTACCGGCATAAGAATCGAGGCACCTACTGTAAAGCTGAGATATGTGATGTGTTTCATGCATGAACGGTTCTGCTGCATTTACAGGAATAGGATCCATTCCCAGCTTATCGTTTCCTGGACGCCTCACCTCTCCTTGCCCTGGTTAAAACATGGTCACATTGCGATGTCACACTCTGCTTAATTCTGTAAATACCCCCTTTAACATGTAATTCTAGCCAGCCTCTTCAAGCCCCCCACCCAGACCCCCCAACCAGAAATAATTTCCTAGTTGTGGGTTTGCTCTTCCATCTTGGCCATGCTAACATTTCAGCCCATGCCTTCTTTTCCTTCTCAATCTCCGCTAATCCTCACGTAGCGCCTCCATCCTTCCATAAAGAAAACCTGCCCACATTCCTCAGGATGGCATATTAACATTGTCATTGGCTGTGTTGCCCCAACCTGATTGGCTATTGTGTGTGGGCGTGTCTTGTGCTGTTTTCACCATATGGAGGCTCAGATAAGGTGTCACAGGGCTGGCTGGAGGTGCCGTGTGGGTGGCTAATACAAGACATGCCACATCTACCTGTTTGTCTAGGAGACCTTGCCCTCGGTTGACACTCAATATAGTCTTATACTCTTTGATAAAAACACTGAGCTGTATTATGTAAAGTGTCTATATCTATGTAAAATGTCACACACAGACACTTATATAAGGAAACACTCACAAGCTCCTTCTCCAAAACATAAAGTACACAGACCTCTAAAATATACGTGTGGCTGCTTAATCATGACTTTTAATATTGGAAATAAATCTTTCCTACAGTGTACTTCCAGCCTCAATGCCTGCCAATTATTTTAATATTCAATAACGCCTCAGACCCAAAGTTGACCCATAATCTTTCAGACACTTATGAAAAGACCATTATGCTGTCTGACTTAAATGATGGGAAATATAAATAGAAATTAATATTTCTTATTACTTCTTTCTGGATGTATTGTAATAATAAAACACCAGGGTAGTTATTTTGAAATGAGGTAATTAAGAAGTATTGGAACAAATGCAGCCGCGTTGAACCCGGCACACAGCCATATCATTTGCATGCCTTTATTTAATGAACCTCCGGGGGGGGGGCAGGGGGGTAGGCTTCGGACGAAACTCCCAACACGACAACATTGGCAAACAAGTAAAATGACGCACTCCCTTGATTGTAAGACGGCTTCTTTTGACTTCCTGTTGAGTGACCTACAGCAGACAGACAGAGTCCGCGACGGACTCCGACAGCCCGGCTACAGCTAGTTCTCCTATTAGGAGAACAAGAAAATGGAAAATGGAAGGAAGAATGGCATCTTGAGTGGAGTGCAGATCTTTTCTCTGGTCTTAATTAGAAATGCTATCAATCACCAGCTGAAGTTCCTATTCATTTTAGTGACAGAGGACATTACAAATGAATGCGATTATAAATGAAGTGTCAGGCAGGGGCTGGAGATTGATGCTCTTGTCGTGGGATGAGTGTAATAAGTACAGTTAGCACTGTCAACGGTCAAGATCTTCTCACACCATGTGTAGGCCCCGGAACCTGTGCGTAGGAATACCCCTCTGCGGCAATGCCTTTTCAGCCAAAAGACGAACAAGTAAACAAAAAACTGAATCTAAAACAAACAAAAGTTGGCTTCTTATTGACAGCTTGCAGTCCCCTTTTCATATATATGGGCAAAGGTTCCCTTCAACACATTTGCATGATAGTGTACTGTACAATATTATCTGCGTGACTGTGAAAGCTTGTAAGACTTGTTAACAAAGTGTAATTATCTCGCAGGCATTTCTTCCATTTTCGATTTCAATTATTTTTTAACACCGGCAAAAGCTTTGGACTGTAGTGTTGAATTTGATGCATGGGTTGGTTAACTAATAGGCATATTTAAGTGGTAAGTTACAGGCAGAAGCCAACAATACAAAGGTTTATATTGAGCTGGAAAACACTTTTCAAGTCCTTAACCCTCAAGCTTTATGAGCTTAATAACGTGGTCTTTACGAGCATTTCCCATTTTAAAACAGGCCTCATATGAAAATGCATAAAGAAGACTACAATTTGAATATTAAATTAGTTCGCCCTTATTCATCCAATAGCCCCTTTCTGTGTTGATTTGATTTAATGAAAGATGTAATTGGTTTTTCGGTTATGGCAGTGCTCTAACTTTGGGGGTTGAACAATGACTTTTCCGGAGGACTGGGGAGAGCTAGCCTACGCTGTGACATTCACTGCAGGCATTCAGATCTCCTTTTATTGTTCCTCTGTTTTCATTGTTTTTCATTAATAGCTGACTTTTCAAGCTCAGCATGTAACAAAAAATGGATTTTGCTGCAATCCTGAAGAAAGACATACAGGACTGCACAGTGACAAAGTAAGACCGCAGAAGTATTAAAAAATGTGCTGAATGAAAGAGGAAAAAAACATAAGAATTCATACAGTACTTTGGTCAACTGAAAAAAATGTGAATATTTAATTAACTACGATAAGAAAACAGCTATTTTCAGATTGCTTCACATTTTAACTTTCATTTGGAAATGTATCACCCAGGCTGTCTTTTTGTGAATAGCTATTACAATTAAGATTGTTTGTGATCCATTGCGAAAATTCCCAGGGAATATAGTACCATTTTAAGTTAGCATCTAATGGGTTTTTAGAACTGATGGGCCTTGACTCACAAGAAGAACCAAGGGTTCAGCTACACTAGGTATAATTACACATAGAAAACAAGCTAATATGTCTACTTGAGATAACTCAGACAAGTTTGGGTGGTCATTTGGGTTCAAAACCAAGTTTAAATTGGATTCAAAAACAATTAATTCTGCTCAAGTTCCATGCAATAATAAATGTATTCCTAATTGCTAGTGTCGTTGGTTTGATAAATGAGTAAATTAAAATATAGAATCTTTTCAATGCAGCCTTTTACAAGGTTGTTGTTAACAGATATCTCCTTACTTGGCAATTATGAAAACAAAAATGAGAAAATCTTCTCATTCGAACTTGGTAAGAGCCAAGCAGGTATAACTGGAAATGGACAAAACTTATTTCACTAAATGAAACTGGCCTGCTTTGAGTGACTGGTGAATAATCAGGACAGCAAGAAAAAAAAAGTTACTCTATGGGCACATGATCATTTTGAATAGACGTTTGACCGCAATGTCATTTGAAATGCGTGGATTCTTTGATGAATATGCATACACAAATGGCGACAGGCCGGTCGTATCCAAATATTTCCATAGTAAAAATAACAGGAAATGCTGCTGTGATCCCATGACAACTCATTCACCAAACAAACCAAGGAACCACATTCTCTTGTATTTTTTATTTTTACTTATTCCAAGAAGCAGCAGCTGATGGTAATCCTATTCATGCAGCCATTAAAATTCATCTTTCACAGCGGAGCTCCGATAAAGGAAATGAATATTAGAATAACATCCTGCTCAAAGTGCCTCTTTCATAGCTGAAGAAGACAAGCATTTGGCATGTGGTGTTTGTGTGCGACACAGAGATCCATTTCATCTGAGGTGTTGAAATTTGTACGAGGACGGACGTATCATGTTTTTGTTAGATTATCTATACCCACACAACCCATACAGGATCTAAAATTGGGATATACATAAATCAATTGATCTATCAGTCAATCAATAATCAAATTTCCCCATGGGATCAATATGTTCATCGTATTGCATTTATATATCTATCTATAAAGCCAAGGGTTTCAGACTCATATAGTCTCATAGAGTTAATAGTCTCTGTTTACAGCGGCACAAAAGTAACATTGCTTTATGGGAACCTGCCGTTTTGGATTCTTCCACGTTTTGCATATGAATGATTTAAACGAATAACATTTTACTGAGGTGTATATCCCTCAATGGTCTGCGTTTTAACATGTCAGAGTTTTTGAGGTAATCAGTTTTTCTTTCCAGAGGAGCCAAATTGTGAAGACATCTGTTATGTTATTAATTTCACATAAATCATAAGCTCCTTGAGGCCTGAAATGAGGCTTCATTCAAGCCGAATTAATGAAACATGATTGTAAGTCCCTCACACGGAAGGGCTGTCATACAATATTGAGTCGCTCATAATCACTGTGTAATCTTGGCGTCTGCCACAGGAGAGCGAGTTTAAATCCTGCCATAAAACAATATCTTGAAAAGATCAGAATCTTCTGTGTACCCTTCAGGATTAAAGGGCGATAAATCTTCTTTGAAATGAATCATCGGTTTTCCGTGAAAGATACAAAATTGCTGTGAAATGCAGTTTTCTTTTTTAATTGTTCACATCACAGTCCTAGGTGTTTGTTTGAGGAGAGGGTCTGTCTGCAGGGTAATTTTAGTGCAGCCACCCCATCCCACTGCTGTCTGTCTAACCCCCCTGTACCCCCCGCCAGCGAGACGGGATGACTGCGCAACGCCGCGCTCCATCGATGGTTGTTTTAGCCCCGCTGCTGGTGCTTGCGGGCCTGGCGCTGCACCAGGAGAAGCCGCCGCCAGGTGACATCTTGTCAGCTGTGCGCTGACATCAAGGGAGGTGTGCGCGACGGAGGGGAAAACGATAAAGCACAACTGAGTCTCAGGTGTGTTAATCCTCCGTGATCCCACCTCCCCAGCTTGAGCAAGACAGCGCTGATATGAAAGTGCAATTTAAAAAAAAAAAAAAAACTCGCTCTCGGTGAGCAGACGTTTCGGGGGGTGGGGGGCAATTTAAAGATGCGCACGCCCGGCGTGGACGGCACTCGGTGTTTCCTTAACGGCATTTTACTGTTTGAGAGCTTTTCCGTTACACTGCGCTTGGCCATTGTTAATATCCGCCACCGCGTCCTCGCCAGTGAAGGGAACATCTGGCCCCTCCGCTTCTGCTAGCCTAATTATTTTTATGCAAAGCGGGCACGGCGAAACGCCGCCACGAGCCGCACGCCCGCAAACGGGCAAACTCTGCCTCCATTGTTCTCGCCGCTCGCGCTCCTTAATTAAGATGCGCGAGGCGCCGCGCTCCTTTGTCTCCAGGGCGGCGCGCGCGTGCGCCTCGGCAGCGCGCGGCGGCACAGACGCATCCTCCGCTGCAGCCGGGCTTCCTCCTGAGGTTCGGCGCGCGTCGCTCACACACTGACAGAAATAGGTTGGCTCGCATTAAGAAGAAGTAGCCCCTCTTAAAACAAGCAAACAAACAAGCGAGCGCGCAGAACAGGCGATGTCACATCCGCAGCGGCTCCTAATTTCAGACTCGAGAGGTTAATTGCCTCCCGTCGCTTCAAAGGCGAGTTTTGATGTGCGTTTTTGAGCGCTGTCTTTAGCCTAGCCGGAGAGCAGAGGGGAGGGGGGCACTTGAGAATTCACTGGCGGTATAACAGCACAGACGTCTCCTCAGGTAATCCTGCCTCTCAAAGGCATTATTGAATTTTCTCTGTTTTTCTTTCTCTCTTTGTCAAAGCAGGGAGGGGGGAAGGAGTTTGACTTCTTAAGGGTCTGCAGTGCCTGCTTGATTCCCATTCACCTCTGCAGATCCGTGTCAAAATAAACCCAGACCTTTTTAAGGCGCCGTGCTTTGAAGTGGTGGAGAGCCTCAAATCCGAGCTCCTCGCAGCATTGGACGGCCTGAAAAATTAGCAGCCGCGCGGCGCCTGCCTTTGATGTCTGCCTTTCTCTCTGCCCATTTTAAAAGAGAAATCACAAGAAATGCACCCTGACTCCTAGATTAAGATAATGATTTTGCTGGATGGCGGCACAGATGCGTGGAGATTTCTACAAATCTGTGTGGTTTTGGCAGTGGGCACATGAAAGGGCTGCGGCTCGCGACGGCGTGTGCATCTGTCGCATTAAAAACGTCGCGTCTGGCCGCCTCGATGGGTTTGGAGGTGGCTGTCTTCCTCACTAATGGCAAAGTGCTGTTGTCTTTGTGGCACTTGCTCGATTCCAGTCTGATTCAGTGATCGGGACAAGATGCCGGGCATCGGCGGAGACAGCTTCAGGAGGTGGGCCGGGTGTGCAGGTTACGGCTTCTCCCTGCTCCCATCTAACAGAGGAATCCTCCTATCAAGTACTATGAGGCGTTTTCCTTTTTTTTTTTTGTTTTTTACCAACTCACTGCCATAAAGCCTATTATACAGAAAATCCTCCACGTACGAACGAAGATGGGAGCGGCCATGTCCAATAAATTAAAAATAAAAAATAAATTGTAAAGTTTAAAGCTGCCAGAATTTCAGATTTTGTGGCAGTTCTTGAGTGTTCATATGTATCTTCATACAGTAACATAAACTCACTCACTAGCAGTAAGTGAGATCTGTTGAATGAAAACAATACGGAAAAATGAACTCTGTTGTTGGTTGTTAAAATGCACTCGAAATCAATAACAAAACCACAAATATTTTCTTATGTACAAATAGCTATACATGTACAAGCTTTCCATAGGTGTTGAGTGTTGGGGGTTGCAGCGTCATAAGCTGAACACCTAGGCTAACTTTTAGACGTGAACTTTTGGACTTGCAAACCCACTCTTGGAATTGGAACTGGTTCATATCTTGGGGACTTAATTAATGTATTAAAAATACGGGTTAAATACAATGGTTTGTGATAAAGAATTCACACTTCAGTGTTCCATCTGCTCAAGCTACCCTACTATACGTATTATTATTGTGCACTGTATTGTTATTCTTCCAAGTTCCCTACAAATATGTCTTAGATAGACTTAGGGAACGGATCTCGTTCCTAACCTGTATATGAGAGAGGGGGCCCAAGTTGTTGAAGACATTTGCTCGCTAACACCCCGACCCGCCCCACCCCCCTGCACCCCTGCTGTCTCGTCTCCAGGAGTATTTCAGATGGAAAGTTGGACACGCTTCTTGGAATGGCTGATTACCTCACACACGCCCCTTATCCCGTTTGGGTTCCCTCACATGACAGTTCCACACATCCTGATTTTCCCCTTATCCCGTTCGGGTTCCCTCACATGACAATTCCACACATCCTGATTTTTTTTTCCCCAGCACTGGCTCTGTATGTCTAGCCATGCTGGAGCTTAAGCGGGGGTCACCAAAGATTTTTTTTTGTGATGTTCAATTCAGAATGAGGTATTTTTACATTTTATTGGCATTAAAAATCTTTTAACACAATGTAACTAGCCTTTTAGTATGTGGAACAGACCAAAACTATGTTGATTTCCAGGGAATATCTGCAATGCGCACTGACCCCATTATTACTGACTGCAGACTGTCTCTGATATATTTACAGTAGTTGTTAATTTTCCTTTAAACGGGTTGTCACATCAATGGTATTACTTTAGTTTCTGATCTGTTTATTTGAAACTCGAACCCGGTTTGAGAAGACGTGTCCCTGAAGGGGCGAAGGAAATGTTCGAAAAAAGAACAAACGTTGTTGACGCAGCTTTTCAACAGTTCCATTTCCAGGTGAACTTCTCTAGTTAACGTCGTCTTGTCCGCCCGTAGGTGAGTATTGGGGGGGGGGTGGGGAAGCGCCCCGCACCCTTCTGTACTGACATCTGAACCATAGCAATGGAAGCCGACTGGGGATGGATCAGGTTTCACCTCGTAGCGCCGGGGAGTGCTGATCTGTGGTAACTCCACCGCGTTGAGCCACCAGGCTGCAGGCTCAGATCTTATCAGTCACAGAAAGAGGCCGTGGGTGGATCCAGTTCACGTGTCAGGAGATACAGAAGAAAGATTAATGGCGTAGCTAGAACAGGCCCTCTCCAATCGCTTTGCCCGTATGCCGGGGGGGGGGGGCCGGGGGGCGGGGGGTGTGTAATAACTCGCCAAGTTTCACATGGGATAAAGGGGGGAGGTGGGGGGGGTGTTTAAGAAAAAAAAAAAAAAACCTTTCAGAAAGATTTTTAAAAACCCGACCCTGTCAGGTGCCATGTGGTTTTTGGAGATTGTGAATGATGTAACCAAGAGTAAGTGTGGGGGTTACCGTTTGAGAGCCCCCCCCCTCCCCCTCCCGTGGTGGTTTAAAACCTTTCATTCAGTGGTTCATTCACCAGTCAGCATCAGACGTGGTTTCGGGATCAATTAAAAGATGAAAAGACAGGCCTCTGATGAATGTTCTTCAACCCCAACACCACCTCCGAGCAAAGATCTCAGAAATACTTGTTCGAAAAAGTAAAGAGAAACAGTCTGTGATATTTAGCAAGGGTATTTCTTTCATTTCAATGCAGTGACGCCACAAGAAGCCTTAAGAACACTCTGTTCGGCGGTAATCCTGTTTGTTGTTAACAATAATTGATCAGTCCAATGTGCTTTCACTCAGTAAATCAATGCTACATGCTATAGCAGTCTATGCTTCCTTGGTCAATGCCTTGTCTACGTACAGAAGAATGTGGAAGTCAGTAATTTTGTGTTTATTGTAAAGGATTTTGGTCCGCTTGTATGACATCTCTCTCTACTCGACCATGAGTTTACACTTTAAACGCAAGGCATCATCAGAGTTTCTCACCATTTGGTATAAGTACAAATATTCACCTTGCAGGGCCAGATCTGCGAAACCTGACACGAGTTGCCTGTTTAAGACATCGAGGGTGACAAATTCGCAGAGAGTGATGGTAGTTTGTGGTTGCAGGTAATTATTCTGAAACGCAGCTGCCACGGTCAGTGTGGGTCTCTCTGTAGGCCGAGGTCCATTGTGGCCTCTGGTGTTGGGGGGGGTTGATTCAGGGCCATAAGTACATAATGTGTGCATGGCAAGACAGGTGACAGAGGGGGCTTATCGAGAAGGACGAGTCTGACTGGCGCTCCTGTGTGCTGCATCTCGAGTTACCATGGCTACTGAATATTCATCAAAACCGTGGGGGTGGGCCGAGTCGCCTGTCACCCCTCCATGCACATTTGGGGTAGGTTGTGGGTAAAAGTAGCCAGTGAAACCGACACAAAGAACGATCTGGGATTCCTTTATTTTCCATGCTTTGCGTCTGTTTTGAGTTTAGGCTTTTAGTTTTTTTTCTTCTTTCTCTTCACCATCGCTGCCGTACTTGTAAAGCTCAATCGTGTAAACATGTTGACAAATGCTCTTTTGTAAACTTTGTTACTGGTGCCATTTATTCGGTAACAAAGCTGTCACTTGAGATACCGTCTGGGGCTTGTTTTACATTCAAAAGAGTAACCAATTGTCAGCGTGCCAGTCGGTCGTGGTGAGCGGGCCACCCATGGCGACGATCCATAAAGGGACGTATTTATAATCGTGGCAGGGCCAGCATTCCGTAAAAGCTAAAAGCACCCCTCCCACTTATGGAGTACACAGGCAGTCGCTGAAAAAAAGGCAGCCAGAAGGGTTTTTTTTGATAAATGTTAATATGATTAACCTTGTCCTCTCAAGAAAGGTGAACTGGAAAGTGAGTTGACCTCAGGCATCGCAGTACAGTTAGTTTAGTCTGTTTTCAGCAAAAAAAAAATATTATCGCTTTTAAAGTGGGCTTCGGTTTATTTGCCTATATGAGTGTTATGACTTTCTACAATATCTCCCAAATAATTATTCACTCAAGAGATGTAATGTTACTTTTTAATCTCCAAATGAAGTCCTGTCTACCCAAATTGCAGGTGTAATGCACACACACACACACACACACACACCACACCCATTCTCTATGGTTTCTCATCTGAAATGTGTTGCGGCTCTTGTGGTCCGAAAAAGCTCTGATGGGGCTTGTCCTCCTGTGGCTTTTTTGGGACCTGTAGAACAGATTCGGTGACAGTGTGAAGACACCCCCCCCCCACCTTAGCCTGTAAGCACCAGCACACTGTGCACAGATTGTCCTTTCACTGGAATGGGCGGGCGGGTGGGTTCAACCCACAATGAAGGCACCATTTGATCCCCTTCAGTCCAAATTGCTTTCTCTTTGATTTCCATTTACCCCAGTTTCCCTCTTAGTGCAGAGAGTCCGGTTTCTCTTAAAGAAGGAAGGGGGGTCTGTATGTCTGTGAGTGTGTGTTTGGTTGGAATTTCAAAGTGGATTGATTGGGTAAACAATTACCAGAGCAGAACTAGTTTTGTTTTGATTACTTTTATAAGTGATCTGAATTAGGCAGAATGGGAGGTGAGGAAATAAATGCAAAATTATATGAGTGCATATGGTACAGTTTTGGTACATAGTAGTTTTGGGAGGTCTGCAGTTTTACCCACAATGCCATGTGGTGGTGACCTGGGACATGCTCACTTTTGAAGGATAAGGCCTTTAAGTGGAGTTCAGAACATCTCATGAGCATCATTCTGGGAGAGGCGGGCCAACCACGTCAGGGGCTGCAGCTGTGGCACCAAATGTTACCGAGAGATCCAAATGGGGCGGGTCCCGGGGGGTGGGATGGGGGGGGGGGGCAGTATGGGTCACCTGTATGGGGGGGCAGGTGCGAAGCCACAGCGGGGCCATCGGTGTCAATGTGCTGACGGAGGGACGCATGGGGAGTTGGGGGGGGGGGTCTCTCGTGCCTTCTGGCCAGCAGGCCACCCCCCCCCCCTCGCTCTGACATCCCCTGTCGGCTGCACTAACCAAGTGTCCTGCCTGTATAAATCTTTCCCCGCGAGGTAAGTGCCTTATTACTGCAGTGGGAGGGCCGGCCGGGACCCATCTGCAGGGGATGGACCTTGCGCTCCTCTCCATCACACCGGGGCTCAGAAATTATGGGTTTGTTTAAAGCCTGATTACTCCCCAGCGATATGAGCAAAGTGCAACCATAAATTTCACCTCCCCTCCGGCTGGCCTGGACAGGCCACTGCGGGACTGTCCCTCTCTCCTCCTAAACACACCTCTTTAACTATTGAGGATAATTTTTAAGGAAATTACACCCTTGGTGCCAAACGTTTTACATTTGGTTTTTTTTTCCTTTGTTGATATACTGCCTTTTTTATCCGTCTTGACGCTAACAAAGAAGCTTGTCATTACTCATCCCAATACCTGCATTAAAATGTAGCCATTTATCCACGAGGGAGACTTCACACGGTAAACTGTTATTGCTGACGTTTTATTCAAATGAAAATGTATAGTATAAAAGGCCAGGTAAATGTAGCGTGCAAGGCAATTTGAGAAAGCATTGTTGGAAAAATGTTAGACAAAATTTGTACAGAAATTTGTAACTTATATGCATTTGTAAAATGACTAATGTGCTTAGCTGGAAGGTGTATGGATACAGCTTTCACATGCACATTAAACTGGCAAAATTAATTAGCTGGCTTGGAAGAGTACCTTATAGAA